ACTCCTCATCAACGACACAAATCTACACAAATATACAAAGCTTCACAGTCAAAGTCTGCTTAAACTCATCGACCTATGCTTAACAACATATCTTCAATTCAACAACAGAGTCTACGAAGAAATAAAAGGAACACCAATGGGATCACCAATATCAGGACTCATCGCCGAAGCTTTAATGCAGATCAAAAGGGGGGTGCAATCAAAACAAAGTTGCAAACAACGACAGATCAGAAGACAACAGCAACCAATCAAGATCGAGGTTAGCAGAACAAGCTACAGGTCAAACGTGGAGAAATTCGAATGCATCACTTCTATCTGAAATTTGTGCTGATGATGTTGTGTTCAGAAGGAGAACAATGAAGAAAGCTCCACAATCTAAAAACACCAAGCTCAAAGAACAAAACACCATCACAATCAACCAACTGAGCTACAAAACTTTCTTCACCATCTCAAAATACAAGTGTAAGCGAGTAATTTCTAGTAAACTATTCACTTAACCAACGTCATGGTCAATTCGAATCTGGCAAGCCAATCGTTACAAAGGCTCGATATTGGTAGTAGTTGGTTACGCATATGCATACAACTGATGTATGTCAAAGTATATATTCACTACGATGATAAACAAATATATGGACACTACAAGTTTACTATTAATGATTTACAAGTTATTTTCCATGACTGTAGATCCTATTAGAAAAAATCAGTGCTACTGTGAACTTGACTCTTGAAATATAGCTATATATATATATATATATATATATATATATATATATATATATATATATATATATATATATGTAGTTGATACATGGGCGAGGATATAACTAAAAACTGACACATACAAATAAAAAGGAAAAACATTACTTTCTTGAGCCTCCGCTAAAGATTGATTTATATACGCATCCAAAATATTCGGATCTAGATCACTGTTTTGTACAAATCCTGTAAACTCATGCAAATATTTTGTTCGTAATAAATTAAATAATCCAGCAGCTGTTCTAAGTGATAAATGAACATCCTTAGCTTCATCTTCTGAAACACTAATTTTTTTTTTATATATATATTAGATACTTGAAAAATTGGATACTTACTTTTCATTAGAAGCAACTTTTGCTGCATGTTTAGTATACCATAAAGCAACATTGAAAATTATTGAATATAATTCAAAGATAGCATCTGAACGAACACTAAATAAATTAAGTAGTTAGAAAATAACAGAAAAGAATATTGACAGACATTGGTTCACCCTTTGGTTTTATACTATCACACCATTTCACACAAACAAGATCTCTTAATTTACTGTATGGTGTTTTATTATCAGTTGCAATAATGAATCCCATCAATAATTGTAAGTATCGATTTACGGAGGTTAGAACTGATTCACATGGTACTGAAGGATTTGATATTAGTTTGAGAAGCTCAAGACGACGTTTTGCAGCTTCACTGAAATTAAATGATTAAGTAAAAGAAGGTAGTTTTAAAAAAAAATTCAAACATGTAGAAATGATAGAAATATAAACAAGTAAAATATGGACAGAATAAATTATCCGGAATTTAGTAAAATAAACTCTAAAGTTAGCTAGCTCTATTTACGGAAAATACATTTTGTGATTAAAAAAAACTCATAATCATGCACAATATATCTTCTAGTTGAAAGTTATCACTCAATATTCTACTTACGCTGTTACCAGTCAGTCAGTCAGATGCAACGTAGAACTTCCTACATAAGTACATCAGTTCATGTCGCCATACCACATAAGCACACAGATATAAGTGTCAATTCGAATCTAATAGTAGTAGAGGTAGTAAAGGTATTAGAAGTAATCAGTGACGTTAAGATTAGAAGATATTATTCAAGAAGTATAATTCAGTGAGAGAAGTTTAGAAAGTCAAAACTAGAGTTGTTGAAGAATCCAGAAGATTAGGATTTGAGAGAACACAAAGAATAAATGCACCGGCACCACTGAGAACGATTTTGAGCCATGTCATTCAATGTCTATAACCATAGATTACTATCATCTCGCGGACCCCAACCAGGTAGTCGACAACAACCGACATGGCTAAGTCCACTCGTCAATGACTTCATGGATTTCTGCCATGTTTTGGTTTGGCCGCCCCTAACTTTCTTCCAACCTATTCCTACACTACAAAACAAAGCTCTTCGAGGCAGTTGGTGGTTAGGCATACGCAGCACATGTCTCAACCACCTCAACTTATGAAGTTTCATTACCTCATCTACTGGTCCGCCATCCTTACCTAGCACCCGATTCCTAACAACAGCATTGCTTACTCGGTTGTCCCATGATACACGAGCAATGCTTTGAAGATATCTGTGGTCGAAAACTAGTAACCTACGAATATCTTCTACTCTTAACGGCCATGTTTCACAGCCTTAATGTAAAACAAAGCGAACTACTGCACAGTACACTCGTCCTTTAGTCAGCAAACGGATATCTCGCCTGCACCATAAGTTACGCTGGTTGGCAAAAGCCAATCGAGACTTCTGTATCCGTGCTGAGATTTCTACGCTGTTACCAAGAAGTAAAGGAAAAATCTAACACCGAAAATCTTATTTATTCTTTACTTGAATTTGTTCCATAAAGTCGGAAAACTGCAAAACGTTCTGCTTATGAGACAGGATTAAGCTTTATTGTCATATTAAATTTAGTCAATACTTATGCCAAATAAGTCAGTCGGTCAGCCACAACGTAGAACTTCGTACGTATGTACATCAGTTCATGTTGTCATACTGTTACGTATTCACGTAAGCATGTCATTTCGATATACTTCAATTATTACGAGTTTACCTAAGTCGAAAAACGAGAGCGAAAATCGAGGATCCGGTGACACGACATTCTACTCTAATCCGAGTGTCCAAACCCCACTGAGTGAAAGAAGACTTGAAATGAAGTAGAACCTGTATTCTACAAGCATCCAGAAAGTACGAGGTCCGAGAACAGAAGAGAATCAGGATCCCGGACTAGGGATCCAGCTCCGGGTCCGGTCCGTAAGACGTTACGGATAATGCGTATTCATACATTTAGGTCGAAAAGGAAATAGCATCGAAGTCTGTGACATTGGCAGTTAAGACGACCAATAAATTGTGAATAAAATTCCCATAGTGGTATAGGTAGTAGAAGTATTAGAAATGAGGGAGAAGATTAAGGTTCAAAGAAACGATTAAGTATATCCCAGGGAAATAAATTTAAAAAGAGGAAAAACGGTCATGAGGAATTTATAATGGAATTTGAGAGAGAACAAAGAACGGATGCATCCGCGCCAATGCAAACGAGTTTGAATCATGTTATTCAATGTCTCGGTTACGATTGTATCACAGAACCAAACCAGCTTCTCTACACCCACTGACATGGCTCAGCTCAGCTGTCAATGACCTTATGGATTTGTGCCATGTTTTGATTTGATCGAGCCCACCTTTCTTCCAGCCTAACCCTAAATCACAAAACTTCGAGGCAGTCGGTGGTTGGACATACGTAACACAAGTCCCAGTTACCAGTTTCCTTGATGAGTCTGAACAGTTGTTTACTTTTATCTATCTCCACCGCTTTTTTCATCTATCTCGCTTTCGCTACCCACCACTGTTTGTGATCACTGCAAAGGCTTTTTGCCAGACTGCACTCAAGGTGCCTCCATTAATCATCGTGTTCAAAGCAAGACGAGTTGAGTTTCCAAAACAACTCCCAGTTCAGTAGATGCTACTAAAATCTACCGATTCTCCCTAACCTTATGGTTTACCTTACAGTCAGATATTACTGCTCTTTCCACAGCTATTTGGATATCAGTACAAACTGCCTCGAGATGGAAATCACAAACATGTCCAACTCTTTCTCTAGTTGCTCCTGAAATGTACTCTTGGCTTCGCTATCGCTGAGTAGAACTCTAAGGGGTTTGCTCGCTATGTCTTTCTTACATCCAGTGAGATGCAGGCAAATACGTGCTCGTACTATAGCACGAACTGAATCTAAACATATGCTGCAGAATCAGCGGCAGTCTAATGACTATTGCGTTTCTGAGCTACTGTGGTATGACAACATGTACGTACGAAGTTCTACATTGTGACTGACTGACTAACTGATTATCTATCCAATGAGGTGAGACATCATCAGATCCACACAGGTGTATTTGAGTTCCGCTTAATCTACCTACTTGAGCATTAGTCAACAACTATTACTACATTAGAAAGCTAAAGTTTTGGAGAAGGTTGGAGAGCCTTTTACCTCGTCCAAGCTGCAACTAGTGAGGGCGTAAGGAGATACGATGAAGAGCCGACGGCGAGTGTCCCTATATTTCGGAGTCCTTACTGTCTCGTTTTCGTCGGACAGTGCACAAGCGACTATCTACTGGGATTCAGTTGAAGAGAGCTAGTTCTACTCTAGGACTTATTACTATACCTACACCAGCAAGGCCACGATGAGTAGCAGTGATGCTTCCAGATACACGAAGTGCAAATCAAGGTGGTTGTTTACCTTAACAAAATGAGGTCAGATGAAGGATTGTAATCGGATACTGTATGTGCTTTCGGAGACTCAGCATACACCGATGGCTCGAGATTCTAGAGTCCTAGCTAAGCAAGCCTGTTTTCCTATTTTGAACAAGGTCCGGACATTAGAACCTGTAACATGTAGTTTAGAGTGGGATTTCAGGAGACCACGAATGTTTCGTGCACTCAGATCGTTTGCATCAGTGGCACAAGGTGATAAATATATGCAGCGAAAGTTAGCCATGGAGATATGAGAGTTATTAAGACGTATAAGAAGGATTCGATCATGACTAATTTGATCTCATGTGCTGTTACGGGCATGAGGGCAGATGTAACTCCCAAGATGCCCACACTGAGGGTGCTTTTTGAGTAACCCGTAAAGGAAATCTGCCTAGCGACCATGGGAGGACCTAAAGGGACAGGTGTTTCAGCCAATATGGCTTGGCTGAGTCACTGTAATAGGCAAGCCTGAACACCACGTCAAGGCAGCAGCTACAGTTGGGTTACGCCAGATAAACTGATAGTGAAAGCTGTTGATGAACAATTCTTTAAAGAGCAGATATCGTTTCCATCTAAAATGCATGGTGGCTCTTATATTTAAAATGTACGAGTGAAATTACTAGTTTAGCTAAATGTTGAGTGTAATTGGCCCAAGAAATTTAGTTCTTGGCGTTCTATGACAAACTACCTATCAACCTTTTCATTACCTTGAAGAGGTTGATTTAATTACAATTTGATCTAAACATTCAGGAACGATTTTGAAAATAAGAGATAAGTGTTTATCAAACCTTTGTACGTGAGTTTTTATCTGTCAATACAAGGCAGTTACTCAGCGTAGAAACTACTTAAATATAGATCACAGAACAGAGAAGAAAATACATCAACTACATCAGACAAATGGATACAACATGAGTGATTCCAAATAAGCAAATTGGATCAAACGACAAATATGGCATGACACGACTCGATAGGGGGAGTCTATCTAAATACGTAAATGGAACATCTGTAACTACTCATTACAACTAGTTTACGAAACACAACCAGTATATACTATTTTAAAACTCGTAACCAAGTCGTTATTGACCCTATAGGTTAAAAATCTCTTGATCTATCTATCCTCAGCTTTTTCCAACCTAATTCTATGCTAACCAGAATAGTACATGCGGGTAAGCAGTTAATACCCGAAACCAGGCAGGTTTGATATATCAATAATTTGTCGATACAAACTAAATAGGTAATTAGGAAGTGCTTGAAAGGAATAAAAATTGATACGTTAAAAAGTGATAAGTAACTATAACAATTCATAAATCTTTTTATTATACGATAGACATACCTGCATAGCGTTTTGCAGCTTAAATCTCTAGCGACTGCACCAAAGTCGAAATCAAACTTAGCAGTAGCCTTCAAATGATTCCTATGAAACCAATCTGTCATTTTTGATATTATCCAAACACCATAAAATCCAAATAAAATCACGGCATAAGAAGTGAGTGCCGTACAGGAAACCTAATACCTTAAAACAAAAACAGATTTGAGAGCTTCAAGGGAGTGCAAGTTAGATAATTATAACCAAGTAACCATAAATATCTCAATAAGATCACATGATTATGCTTACTCATCTATGTCTTAAATGAGACGTAGAGAATCCCATACTGATAATAAACCCGGAAATAGATGAAAAGATTTTAAATAGAACGTTTTCGAAAAACTGAGCAGACTTTACTAGGTAGAATTGTTTTAGTATCTTACGTTTATCTAAAGTTTTGCAATAAAAATCTTGTGAGTTATGGAGACATTACAAATTTACGCACCAACTAGCTGGACAAGATAAGCCATCAACCGAACCTCAAATTATTTCATAACTAGGCAATGTTAATTTGGCTAAGAGGTGCTGAAAGTCGTTCATATACAATACTTCATCAATATTTGGTTGCCATAAACAGCGTTGCAACGATCGATAGCATTTGTTATCATTTTAGAAGTAAAGTTACCGTGACTTTGGTATCAATTGAAAGAGATTGGAAATCCGCGTTAAGGACGATGATATGTTAGCAAACCACAGCACCAAACCCTAAATATGATTTATTTGACGTAATAGCGCTAGGTATAAACTATATTACATGCACTGAAATCCTGTGTTAGTCATAGAACTGATGTATTTCCGATAGTAGGCACTTGAGAAACAAAAAGACCTAATTTTCGTTTTCTGTACATTATAATGGGAAAACTAACCGGTCCCAAATACGACCTTCAGATAAGTAAACTTCGCAGAACAAGATCCAATATCCAATACGTTTCTCACAAACATATAAATCCATTCTTTTTTTAGCGCTGGCTACTTGTTGTTTCCATACGGTTCCATGTATCTAGTAATTTCCGATGGATAGTAGTCAAGTCGCTGGACTGCACTAATTCTAGTCAGTTGGCTATTATTTATGAATGTATATGTGCCGTGATTCGGGTGTGTTTGCATCAAGGCTGTAGGATTTCTGGACACCAACACCAATCACATCACCAGACTGGAAGTCGTTTATTTGCAGTGTTTAGAGTAATTATAATTCTAGCGAGAGGACAGATGTTTCAGTAACAAACTTATAAATCGATAAATAGTTTTGTTATTTGGAAGTGAAGATATTGTGAGAGAACAGAAGTACAAGCGAAAAATAGGGAACAGAGATAATGAGCGAAATATATTAGGTTAATAACCTAAGGAAGTGACAATGATAACGGCATGCGAATTTTCGAGACACGCATCAGGCTCAGCTGTTCCAGGCAATAGAAGATAATCGGTTTGTTAGTACATACTGGTCAAATTTTCTCCTGAAGCTATGCACTCAAGAGTCTTTGGTCACTTCACTCAGGGAAAATTCAAAGTCGAAGTGACTCTTAATGAGGAAAGGTGAGCATGTATTTTGGTGTTTGCTCTCCAGTGTGCAGTTTCCAACGGTTACCTTGATGCTAGTGGTGGTGGTTTTCTGGCAGTGCTGAAGTTGGTGTGATTTGCGATACACAATAAGTTGTATTTCATTACCAGACTACCTCTGATTCTCCTTTAACTCATCAAATTATGGATTCTGTTTTCTCATGGTTCACTTTTACAGTGGATCTAAATGTTTGCCTGTTTTAACTGGAGGAGGTTCGACGACATTGCGGACTTCAATGTTCCAAAAATGACTTGAAAATGTAGTTTAGCTGGTGTCCAGGTTGACTATTGTTACTAGGCCGAGATCAAGTTTTGAGGAGACACTTTGGATCAGACTTCTTTGGAGGACCAACACGAATTTTCGATTCCCTTAAGTAGCTTGTTTCATGAAGCAGCGACTCAACTATACGCTTCTCTAGTTTCCGGTCGTAGCGCATCGTTCCTGTAGGATTATGTTTGTCCCTTACACTTTTTATGCATGCCACCCTAATTAAGTATCACGGCAGAGTTTTTCAGACTTTGAAATATGGCTTCGGTATAGGCTGGCATTTCGCACATGAGGATGTCATAGAAATTCAGGTCAAGAATGCCGAAAAGCTGCAAAATCATATCTTCATTCTTCAATTGAATATTGAATTTATTTTATTAAGAAATAGTTAATTTTACAGTTACGGACTTATATACTGCCCAGGGAAAACGAAAGTGTACAAAACTATATAATAAATAAGCTACCTCAAGTCTCGATCGTAATGACCAGTCAACCTCTATTTTTGGGATGACACTTGTGCGTAGGTCCTGAAAGCGTGAATCGTTGGGCGATAACTCTGTTACGCCATGCAAAATCGTTCGAGCTCATCCACTAATTACAGTTAAAGTATTAACATGTGCAAAGATGGGCTGTTACTTACCCACGCCTGTTACCTAAAATGGAACATTGGCCGCCGATCATCCTTCCCACCCTACCCTATCCTAGGACTTCTTTCATAATTCTATCTAATTGCTGTTTATTCTCCTCTCTCCTGTCTCCATTTCTTGGTATAATGTTTTCTTTGGTCTTTCTCTTTCCCATCAGTGCATTCCACGATGTGTGTCCTATCCACTTCCACCTCTTCTTCCTGATTTCCTCCTCTACTGGAATCTAGTTTGTTCTCTCTCACAATAGTTTGTTGCCGATGGTATCTGGCCAACGACTCCGAAGTATTTCGCGTAGACAACTGTTAACAAATATATGTATATTCTGGATGGTGGCTTTGGTAGTTCTCTAAGTCTCCGCCCCATACATTAGAACTGTCTTGATATTTGTATTGAAAATTCTGATTTTGGTGTTCGTTGGTAGTTGTGTTTAGTTCCAGATGTTTGTCAGCGGTAGAAATATAGCCCTTGCTCTGCCAATCAGCGCTTTTACAAATAAGCCGGATCCACCTTGATTGTAATTGATGTTGCCTAAGAGTGAATCTGTTAACGCATGTTGTGTTGCATCGGACATCCTTGCTTTTCCCTTAGTGTATGCCGGGATCTGCTGTTGCTACACTGATTGTCCTCAGTCAATAGTTATACAAGTACTAACACTAAATTTTCCAGCTTAGCTCATTGTCTGAATAACTAGCAATCAATATAGTGCTTCCACATCTGCAAAGCAGGAAGTAACTGTTCTGGATATTTTTGTTTCCATATATGTTCATTTCTGGTGATATACATCATTGCAGGCTAACTGAAGTCTTTTTAGTGTAGCAGTGAAGAATATGGTTTTCAGTTATTAACTAAGTGAACTCGCTGGGTTCAGTGAAAATTATTCATTTAATGTGTGGCTCCTATTACAAATTGAGAATCGGTCAAGAAGCCCAATAGCAACATTATTAATAATTTCGAAGATTCCCGACAGAATTAGGTGATAGAAATTAGATTGTGATTCTTCAAACCGAACATCCATCTATTTTCTTGGCTGTGTATTTCGCACTAGATAATTTCATATCTTCTAATGATGGGGGGTAAATGAAGTTTTAAATAATAAGTTTAGGTTTCACGCAATTTTCAATGTGTTAAAAGCGTTAGTGGTGTGAATAAGCCAGGTTTTCTTCACTGAATCGTATTTCCTTTGCCTTTAACATCAGTTTGGAACGTTTTACGAAATGAAGATCGATACTAACAGCCCTATCGTTACCAGGCACACCACAAGCTTGCACCATATGGCCTCTAAAGTAGCCCTCGAGGGGATTCCCTCCGATAAATTGCCGGTCCTGCCAATATATCTTCCCATAATATCACTTTCGAGTCCTACGATTGTTCCGAAGATAGCATAGCAGAAGTGACCTAGACGACAAGCTTTGCTAGAACATCCTGTATTAGATTACTCTTCGTATACAAATCCGTCTAAAGCACTCTCATTTCTCAAAGCAAATATTGTTGCGAACGTCAAACTAACTATCAAACGACAAGAGGATTATTTCTCGAACCAGTCAGAAGCCTAGAGCACTGAGTTGACTCACAGGTCTTGACTATCAATTTTTATACCTATTCAGATGTAAAAGTCCAAACCACGAATCGTCTACCAGATAGCGGACCACGCTACTAGTCTCTGATTTTGAACCGGAGCCCAGGATTTCAGTTTTAATAGATAATGCACATGAGCTGCTGCCACAGAAGCTAAGGCACCGCCACTAAGGATCTCGTGTAATGTAAAAAACTAGTATTTTTACCTAACGGGCTTCCGTTTCCACTAGTAGTGGGTCATCAACGCCTCTAGGTAGTAAAGGTATATTTAACGAGTAAAATACAAATATTCTAAACCTGGTTTCCCAGAAATTTTTTCACGTTTTATTTTCAGTGACTTCTGGGAAGCCGCTGGAGCCACACCAGTCGGTAGGAATTTTAGAATTTGAATGCCAGGAAACAATAGAAATTGTACCTGCAGTTCGTTCCGCTGTGTTTTGTCCCTGATTTCTGGATATCTAACCTAAGGTTTGTGCTGAGACTGAGCTTTAGTAGATGTAGAATCCTTTTTGAATGTTTTGTTTTTTGGAAAATCCCTCCATGTTTACATATTTTTGTTATGACATGACGGACTCTTTCTGTTGACATTTTTGGTATTTTATTTGATTCCAATTTGAGAATTTGTTATTCTTTCTATATTTTGTACTTATATTGAAGTTTTTGTGTTTGCTTCTGAACTGTATATATGTTGTTTAAATTTGATCTTTAATATGGCCACAGCCATATTTGGATTGATACGGTGGCGGTTGGACTTAACGTCACTTATTCCCCTTTGCCTTGGATACTCTTCGGAGTAATTGTGACCTGGAAAGTGCATCAACTCCAGGTATTGCTTTGTATTTCCATCTTTTAATTAATATAGACCGTTTTCTCCTAGGATTGTTGTGTTTTTAATATTGGACCGGGAGATACGCGTTCAGATTGCACTTATTGGAAACCATTTGAACTGCTACGGTAGAAATCCATTTATAGTCTGGAGTTGTGGCTCGACTTTTGATTAGAAGACCAATTACAGTCGGATTATTAAGAAGAATAAAGAAACATTTGGAAATTTAATCGTTTATAACACTAACCTTCTTGAAAGAAGAATCTTGGATTACTTATCGTATTTTTGTATTCGAACTGTATTTTGGAAAACGATTTTCTGATTTTGGATATTTCTTACCTGTGGAATTCCTATATTTTGTATTTGTTATTTATCTTCCGTTGAACTTCACTTAAACATGAGCAGCCGGAAGAAAACAAACACAAGGAGGGTGGAAGAGCTTGAAGGACCCCGAAACGCTAGGCAAGTCGTTAATGATGCTTGTTTAATGAGTACCCACTTTATTAATAATGATGTTATGTCTGATACTTATTATTGTAAGTCACCTTTGGCAGGCATTAAGGAACAAGGCTTAAGTGAGAGTTCTAAGGTACCAGAGACGGATCAGATACTTAGGACACCGATAGTAGGTTTAGAACTACCTAAGGTCGAACTTTCATTTTTTGATGGAAAGTCTCGCGACTATTTTAGGTTCATGCGTCAAATAGAAACGTTTATAGAACCAAGAGTAAAAGATGACCAAGTGCGTTTATTGTATTTAATTCATTATTGTAAGGGAAAAGCAAAAAATGCGATTGAAGGCTGTATTATTATGGATCCACAAGCAGGATATAAGAGAGCTAAGGCCATTTTAAAACAGCTCTTTGGACAGTCGCATGTAATAGCCCGGGAAACCTTAGAGGACTTATTTAGAACCGGGAATGCAGATTTTAATGATCCTGAAGAATTGACGAATTTGGCTATTAAAATGCAGAATGCTGCTTTAACCTTAGAACAGCTAAATTGTACAACGGAACTTCATTCCCTGGTTACTTTAGAACGAATAGTCAGGCTCTTACCTCGTCGAATGCAAGCCCAG